TTGGCGCGGTGCCAAACTCGTTCTCCACCAGTTGTTGAAGCGGGCAAGTGACAATACTGTATCATATCCTTCGTATTACTCGTTTTCTACCACTTGTCGCATGCGTGCTTCAACAAGAAGGACGGTGACACACTCATACTGCCTGACACGCCCAACCGTCCGCAGCGAAGTAGAGTGCATAAACGCCGCGGATGGGCTAAAACCATCCACCATGGAACCCACCCTAACGGTTGCAACGATACCACTGTATTTTAGGATACGATGGTAAAGTGTGGAAACAAGGGAGACAATTTTATGTGATGCCTCCCTGTTAGGATGCGTTCATACCGTGCGACGAGTCGTCAACGTCGACGTAACCGACGTTTTCGACGACTAGTTCGCGAAGATTATATATGTATCGATCCGACGTAACGGACGAAACCGACGAAAGCGACGTAAGCGACGTAACCGACGACTACTTCGCGAACATTAGATACGTATCGATTATCGAAAACGACGAAACTGACGATTTCGGCGACTGTGCCAAGAATAAGCTTTTCGTAGATGGTTTTTCCCCCACAACATTTTTCACATCTTATTTACATCCTTTTCTGTTTGTAAACAATTTCCCTATCTCCTTCCATCCTCTTGAGTGACCTTACAACCTATCTTCTTCAGTTTTCGAGAGAAATACCATGACAATGGACACGTGGCTTACGTGGAATCGATGTGGTTCCCGAATAAAATGTAAATAAATAAAATAAAAAAATAAAAATAAAGTAAAATTTTCATCCTGAATATTCTTGCACTATTTCATGTCTAGTTCATGGTCCTCCTGTGAATATCTTTCTATTCCGTTGTGACCGGCATAGTGACCCTTACAGCGTCTTATAGGATCTTATCAAGCGTGACCTTTTAAGCTTTGTCACTCATCAATAGTGTTCCCGTCCCACTGATCACATTACCCGTTGAAAATGACTTCCTATTATTGGTAGACCCACATTACGATGTTGCGGACGAACATACACACATACACACATACATAAAGGATAAAGGATAAAGTCTTCGCCGTTGATCAATCCCTTTGCGGCACGCATTCTACTTCCATTCAGAATCGTAGTGGCTTATTGAATGCGATGTGGCCTATACAATGACTTGCGGTGGCCAGCCGATGTACAAGTCAGTGTTTTATCCTCCCAGACGAATCTGGTACCAATTTCCCCGGAGGGTAGAAGGCTTGGTTGGCCTGGGCGGGAGTCGACCCGGGATTCGAACCCGGCGCCGCGCGAGTGGTAAGCGCGCCACTTGTCACTACACCACCTCCGCCTCACACACATACATAATACATACAACAACAACCGATACACAATAAAATAGAAGGGCTTTGGTAGCTGACTGAATCACTAGCTATTCTGAATTTTGTCACACGAAGGCTTAATTGAGTTTACCGTATCGCGATATACACGTGAATGACACAGCATATTGGTATGAAGGAAGTTCGGCGATTTTGAAAAAGAAAGAAAGAAAAAATAAAGGAAGTTCGGCGATTTCGAGAAAGAAATATAAAGCCAAGAGTATCGGAAACATCTCTGCTGCGGTTATTCACCAGATGGAGTTTCTATCAAGGCACACGTGTTGCCAGTTGGGCATTGCCACATCACTCGATCCGTATCTAATCTTGTAGTCGTCGGTTACGTCGGTTTCGTCGCTTTCGTCGAAAACGTCGGTTACGTCGCTTTCGTCGGTTACGTCGGTTTCGTCGAAAACGTCGGTTTCGTCGTCGAATCGATAGGTATGTACAGTCCTCATCATTGCGGACCGGTGGGGCGTGTCAGCCAGTATGAGTGTGCACACTGTTGAAGCCGTTCTCAGCCTTTTTGTTGAAACGCGTATGCGACAAAAAGTGGTAGAAAACGAGTAATACGAAGGATATAATACAGTAATGTCACTTGCCCGCTTCAACAACTGGTGCAGAACGACTTTGGCACCGCGCCAAACGCAGCCGCACTGAACCGCCCCGACAGTACGTAATGATGAGGACTGTAATCTCCGTGAAGTAGTCGTCGGTTACGTCGGTTTCGTCACTTACGTCGGTTACGTCGTTTACGTCGCTTTCGTCGGTTTCGTCCGTTACGTCGGATCGATACGTATACAATCTTCGCGAACGGAACCGTCGCTTACGCCGACGTTGACGACGCGCACGGTATGAACACAGCTATACCTAGTATCACTTCCTCTCGCCCATCATTTTTGTCAACGCCCCACCCCGATATCAGCTGTAGGAACAAAATCGGATTGCCGCTGCCGCCATAACCGCGCTAAATTCGAAGAGTCTTCTCATCCTTACTGCTTACTGTCTGATTGGCCAGTATCAAATCTATTCACTTCCCTCTAGACACCGCTGGTTTGCCCGTCTCCCTCTACTATTAGGGCCGATTTTTATAGCTGCTGCAACGCAGCTACGAAACTAGTGAAGGAAAGAAGGCTATACACACGCATTCATGCTGATTATTAGTAGCACCATGTCATGAGTTGGTGTTGCATTTTCTAACAGAACCCATTTTCGATTCGACTGACGAACAGGTGCTTGCATTAGGTTGGCAAGAAAGTATTTTCCGATTTTTTTTCAAAGTTGCTATTCGAAATTCAAGCAATATTTTTCGCCACGTCATAAGACTAATGCAGCCGCTATAGCCCGAAAGGTCCACGACGTTCGGTGAAGGAACGACTACCGATCGTACCGTACGCAGTTGGTATAAAGGGTTGAGAGACGGAACTGGAAGATCAAGATCCCCTCGTAGTGGACGTCCTTCATTGTTCGAAGATTCGGCATTGCTCGCCGTCATAGAGCCACATACCACCGTACGGGATTTAGCAAGCAGGTTCAAGTGCATGCATACGACGGTTGAAAATCACCTTCACGCTTGAAGGTTTTGACGAAATGAACACCTCATCAGTTGACCGAGCATGAGGATGGCCCACCTAACTATCGCTCATTCTCTTCTCTTCCAAGCGTATCGCAAGGAGTTTCCTAAGGGCCCGATTACTGCGAGAGTTGGATCCTTTATGAGAGTTGGATGAGAGTTGGATCCTTTACGATGCCAATACTCATCGTGCTGTTTGGGTTCCGCAGGGTGAAGAGCCAACGCAGCCGAAGTCCGACCTCCACCTAAAAAAATGTTATGTTCTCGTGTTTCTGGGTTCCGAAGGAATGCTTCACTACGAACTGCTACCCCAGGGAAGGACTATCACTGCTACCGTGTATGCTTAGCAGCTCCAGAGCGTGGAGGATGCTATGAAAGAAAAGCGCCCAAGAAGAGCTACCTTCCATAACAACGCTCGGCATCATGTCGCTTCGACGACTCGTAAAAAATTGATGGAACTGATCTCATCCCGCTGCAAATCCACTCTACCCTCCAGACCTTGCACCGTTAGGCTGTCATTTGTTCCGCTCGAAACCTTCTTGTCTAAGAAAATATTTGTCAAAATGATGTGATTCTTCTGACCGAATATGACCATCTCGTCGGTGAAGGAACGTAAGGCCCAGTTCCGACAGGATGAGACCTGAACATCTGAAGCTACCTATCGGAATGCAAGGTACCCACCTCGTGGAAAACCAGCAAGACTGTGTTGCTGTACAAGAAGGGAGACCTGTACGACATTGGCAATTATCGCCCAATCTGCCTGCTGTCTGTAGTCTACAAACTCTTCACACGAGTCATCCTGAACAGGATTGGCAGAACACTAGACGAAGGACAGCCATGCGAGCAAGCAGGGTTTCGAAGAGGATTCAGCACATCCACACGGTAACGAAGCTCATCGAAGTATCGCGAGAGTACAAGATGCCGCTATGTCTCACGTTCATCGACTTGAAGAAAGCCTTCGACTCCGTTGAGACAGAAGCGGTTATCGAAGCCCTGGGCAACCAGGGTATTCCTACTCAGTACATCAGGATTCTTCGTGAGCTCTACAGCAACTTCACGACCAAGATCTCACCATTCTACAAGGAGATCATCATCGATGTGAAGAGAGGGGTCCGACAGGGCGACACCATCTCGCCCAAGCTCTTCAGCGCCTCTCTCGAGAACGTCATGCGTCAACTGGAATGGGAAGACATGGGAGTGAAGATCGACGGTCGGCAACTACACCATCTCCGCTTTGCTGACGACATCGTTTTGATAACACCAAACATCGAGCAAGCGGAACGAATGCTGGCTGATTCGACTGCTGTGGAAAAATCGGTCTACGGCTGAATCTAACGAAGACGATGTTCATGAGAAACGGATTGGTTTCTGACCATTCACGCTCAACGGAACGACCATCTCTGAATGCTGTACCTGGGTCGTGAAATCAATATGATGAATGACTTAGCACCAGAGCTGAGCAGGAGGAAGCGAGCGGCTTGGGGAGCCTTCAAGAACATCGAGGGAGTAGCGAAGAAGACGAAGAACACCAAGCTCCGTGCCCACCTCTTCGATTCCGCGGTCCTTCCTGCCTTGACGTACGCCTCAGAGACTTGGACTCTACGAAAGCAGGATGAGCATGCGGTTGGCGTTATTCAACGCGCCATCGAAAGGGCGATGCTCGGAGTTTCCCGCTACGCAAGTGAGAGAGGGAATCCGGAGCTCCGCACTCCGCCAGACGATCGAAGATCAGAGACGCCGCCGCATTTGCCAAGGTTTCGAAGATCAGGTGGGCCGGGCACGTCATGCGTTTCGAGGACGACCGCTGGACCAGAGCGATCACCGACTGGATTCCTGGGACCGCCTATGCGATGGTCAGACTTCTTCGTGAAAGCTCTGAACGAATGGTATGAAGTTCATCGTGTCCCTCGAGCAGAGAGAGTTCATTGGGCAACTCTTGCACGTTGCAGGGACGAATGGAGACGTTACTGGCGCCCGCTCGAGGAACTCGATGATCAACGGGAGCACAGGTGATACAGGTGATGCTGTGATAAGTTCGGCGGTCACCGAATTCTTCAACTTCCAAACTCCAGCCTTCTGGGATAAGGAGATCGGTGATTAGCCTTTTGGAAAATAAAGCTGAAAAAAATTTCAAATCGGAAAATACTCTACTGCCAACCTAATAATAGAGAGCACCCGAGAAATTGCACGCGGTTTATCGAAAAAACGCCGCATGTTCCTTGCGCCTTCACTTTCAAGCCTTGTAGCCATTTTTGCTCCAGAGTCCTAACTCTTTGATGCAGGCACAAGAAGTATGTTCTCTGATGATAAACCCCTTCATGTGTTGCGCCACTCTCACAGGATTCCTGTATAGGATGTACGAACTTGGCTCAAAATGTTACTGCATAATAGAAAATCCCTGTTTCAAGAAGTATGGAGATGTCACATGTCATTCAGCAGACTACAGTGGATACAAGGAAAATTAGGTGGACTTGGAAGCAGTGCACCTATTCGCCTGCTGTGATGAATTTCTGCTGGATACGACTCCCCTCCCAAAAAAGGATCGCGATAAGACGTCCCCCCCGTCCGCTGCTACTCTGGTAGCAGATAAAGTATGATATCCTAGCAACTAGTCGGTTATCTGCTATTAACAGTTAACTGCTGGCAGATTCATGCCACATAAAGCGTCAGCACTGAAATGTTTATCTGCCATTGATAAAAAGTAAACAGAAAAAATAAAAACAAAAAAGCTTCGCTTGAACGCCCATAACTTTTTTGAGAGTGAAGCTTTTGAAGAGGAGAAGGCAGGGCTGTGAAGCATTGGGACTTAACTGCATTCGAGCGGTTTTGAAACCCCCCATCTAAGGGACTCTCCCTGTTGCAACCCCGTTGTCAAGGGTAACCTACCAGTTACGCTTTGAACAACTATAGCAATCTTAATAAGTGACCATTCGTAAAACAAAAAAGCGTCAGAATTTATAATGTTTCTCCTTTCTGGAAGGGCTTTCATTTTTTCTCGAGCCAGCTTTTCCCAATTCGAAGGAATTCCCTGTCGTGACCCTCTTGTGACATCTTTTGGGCCACACGAAAAACCTATCCCTCCGACTCGTTTAAAAACTTTGGCATGCTTCCAGAACACGTATTTTCGCCAAGGGTGTTGAGAAATAGTTCAATCGGCTCCGATTGGTGTCAACTCTGCAATGCGCCATGCATACGACTTCCACGCAAATTTGTTGAGAACGTGTTACTTCTAGATAGGGCTCCCTCCGTGCAAGCAGATGCGCTTGTGGGGAAGGTCCGACCGTGTATTTTCATAATAATAATAATATGTTTATCAATTCATGAAGTCGTTGTCGGTGGGCATTGTACTGCCTGTTACTCACCGTTCCCCACCTCTGAGCTTGCAGAATGCATCGGTCTTAAAGCGTCTCTTCAGGTGTTCTTCACATTAATGAACCTTTCATCATTGAAGCTGCACAACACCTGGTTGTGAGTTCCGCTGTGCTCCCCACTTTAGAAAGGACCGTGCGCCTATGCCCCCATCCCTCGCGGTCGAATACGACCCCTCCCCCTCCCGTATCACAACATGGCATCCCCTGCTTGGAAGCAGCGGCGTTTTTTCTACTTTTTCCAGGTTTCTTGGTGAAGAATGATATGTTTTGCCATTCAGCACTATAGACTTTAATGTAATTGCATGTACTGTATGAGAGTATGCTCACTTCTTTCAGAGATTCTTTTCGCATTTTTTCTTAAGCGCTCAAGAGTGGGTGTCAAGCATCGAACTGATTTTTTTTCGACATCTCTTCTTTTCCAGTTACTTAATAAGCTAAAGCTGCAGAGGTTGAATTGTTAAGTATAGGGGTTCGAAATCTGCATATTCACGAAGCTTCACGCCAAAGAATGCCGACTCGTGATGGGGGAGGTTCGGATGTTCGACATACCGGTTCTGCAGGCGGTCGCTCTCCAACTCCTCAAGAGGGCATCAGACGTGACGCATATTTGCAAGGTCGGAATGCCCATCTTCGAATAGCTTGAGAGAACTTTAAGCCGCAATAAGAGGGAGGTTCCTTGTTCGTGGACATTTGGAATTCTGAGCTACTCCTGAAACTTGAGCGCCAACTGAGTGTAAAGAGGTGGTGTCGAATGCTCCCATTTGCGTCGACTCACTGATAAACTGAAACTTGGCAAAACACAACAAAGACTAGAAAGCTGAGCTGACAGTCTTATAGAGTAGAAAATCCACCATTGAAAGCATGAAAAGCAATAAGGGACTCTTTCATTCTTCGCGCAAAATTTCATGTAAGGAAAACAGCCAACACTTCTGGGCCATTACACAAGGGATTTGAGTGTATAGCTTGCATGCTATGTTAGTGAGCTTCATTTTGGCTTGTACGAGAAAAACCCACCGATTGCAACCACGACGACATCTGCGGGTATGGTTTCATTTGAATTAAGTACCACGCCGCTCACTGTATTTTGTCCTGTGAACCACTTCACAGATTGCTTTACCAATACTTTGACTCCTCTCTTTTCAAATTGCTAAAAAACTGTGGATAAGAAGTAGAATGCTGTTATACGGGTAGAGGCACTGTCTTCTTTGTGAATGATAGAATGAAACTCGTCAAAATCGTTTATCGCATAGACGACGTTTCGGGCTTTAAGCCCTTCTTCAGGTCTAAAAACATTACATTCAAAGCCTGCACCAACACAATCTAACTTTGCAAACATAGATAAGCAATCCAAAGAGGAAAGCAGTCAACAAATAACTGATCGCCTTCGGCAAGGGGGTCTGAGAGGGGGATGCGGGAGTATGCTGTAAGATGGTCTATGATTATGTGAATAACAGGAATACGCAACATTGGCTCTTAGCTCCCCCTATTGTTGATCGCTCAAATCAAATCTCCGGCGCTTCCTTCATTTTCCTCTCCACCGGGTCACTTGAGTTCCTTTGGATTACGCGCACCTTGAGTTCAGGCGCACGCTTATTCGTACGGGACGAGGAATAACCTCTCGAGAAATGTATCCACATAGCTGGGTTCCGGAAAACCCCCAGATGTTCATCGAGCCTTCTGTAGAGTGATTTTCTAGCTTCTCCGATGTTGATTCTGAACATGACGCACACTCCACTTCGTACACGGTGTTCTTCAAAAGGCAGATCTTTCGTTCCTCCTGGCAGTAAAGACAGTTTTCGCGGCCACATCGGTCTTCGTATACTCGTGACGACGTAAGAAGACGACGTAGTGTTGGCGGCGGTCGCAATATCAAGCGGATTGGCATCCCCGAATTCTTTACAACTCGATTGACATCCTTCGCGAAGGAGTCTGAGAGAAAGGGAATTATTAGTGGGACGCCTCCTGGTACCTGATATGGGCGCCAACAATTTACGCGTCTGCTTCCATAGCCGTTTTCGAGAAGTATACGCGTCACGGTATCCATCACTACAGGAACATTTGTGGACGTCAACCTCCGAGCTGTTGTCAAGGCATTCTGAACGATATTCCTCTTCATGAAAGAAGGGCGGCAGATTCTAGTGGATCAGCATGTTCTTGGAAGCAGGTTCCTTAGGCCAAAACACATTTCGTCTCATAGTTTCACTTTAGTATTCAAGAACAGAAGGAAACCATCTGTTCAGGTTCCACGACAGTCAGTGCAGGGCACTGAGTTTAACATCATGAAGGTTCGACGTAATGCTGCTCCAACGACAAAGTCGTTGCGCCGTAGAACAGCAACCCTGACGATAGCGAACGCCTTTCCAAACGATCCATGAATAGGATTGCGAGAAGCGGTGCAATTCGACTGCCCATTGCTAATCACGCGCTTGCATATAAATGTTGTTACGAAACGAAACATGTTGAATTCCACAACATTTATCAGCAGTTCTTCGATATCGCTGATGGACAGTCCGTAAAGTTGACAACTGTTCTGATGTTGTCGTAGAAGATTTATGCACGCTTCCACGGCAATCCTTGTATCCACGTTTGTGTATAACGCAGATACATCGAAGTTTGTGTACAACGCAGATACATCGAAGCTTTGATATGATGTTCTGGGATCGATAGGAATGGTCGTTCCCCGCAAGTTATTCAGGAAATGGTCTGCGTTCTTCAGATGAGCTGGTATATAGTTGAGTAGCGGTGCCAGCATGTGCTGCAAGAACCAGCTGATTGCATCTGTTGGACCTTCCGCATGAGGAAACGATAGGTCTCGTCTTGATGTTGTCATTGCGACGCATGACTCTTCTTCAGAAGCTTCCAGTTTGTGATTTTCACAAGCTGATAGTACGTGGGAATGCACGTGTGCTTGGGAAGAAGTCTGGTCAGGGTCTTCGTTTCCAATTTTGGGCGCAGGACCTTTCTTATCACTTCCTCAAGTTTGGAAACACTCCTGTTTATAGCGGTTTATTGTAGTTATGTTATATGTTGATAAATCTGATAGAACCGCCTCAATCACCTAGAACAACCTCCTGTTTCATGTGTACGAAGCGGAGTGCGTGTCATGTTCAGAACTCCACTCGGAGAAGCTGCACCATCGGTCTACAAAAGGCTCGATGAACGTCTGAGGCTTTCCGGGACCCAGCCAGCTATCCGGATAACCCTTTCTCGAGACATCGTTCCTCGCGCCACACGAATGAGCGTGCACCTGAACTCAAGGTGCGCGTGATCCACAGGAACATAAGTGACCCGGTGGAGAGGAAAATAAAGGAAGCGCTGGAGATTCGAAGGAGGAATCCACCGATCAACAACAGGGAGGAGCTAAGAAGGACAATGGAGATCATTGCTGCACAATGATGTGACATAAGCTGGTGATACGTGACATATGACAAATAGCAGTGTATTAACGACTACCATCTTACCACTGCTTCACCAATCCAGCTGTACCATTTCTATAGGAAATAGTGTATTCCTGTTATTCATATCATCATAGACCATCTTGCAGCATACTTCCGAATCCCTCTCGAACCCATACCTTCCCCTTGCCGAAGCAAAGTTAGATGATGTTGGTGTAGGCTTTCGAATGTAACGTTTGAAGACCTGAAGAAGGGCTTAAAGCCCGAAACGTCGTCTATGCGATAAACGATTTTGACGAGTTTCATTCTATCATTCACAAAGAAGACACAAAACAATGAAGCTCAGTAATTCTCTCATATAACATGGGTAGAGATAGCCTTTCCAGTAGTAGAACTAGTATTCATGTCATACTCACCTTCCGAACGGCCGCTCCAATATCCGCTCCTAGAGCAGGTAGAGGCTCCTCTTTCTCACATACGACGGTTACGGAAGATTTTGAGCTGTGAGACAGTGTAGATGCTATTTCCATTGCTGAAGAAGTGCCACTTGAAGCAATTCTCATGAAAGTTCCTCATCCAAACACTTTGATAAAGAGACTGTACGAGATGGACCTGGATGGATTTTGTAGACAAAAGTGTGCCAGGAAGCTCGAGTTCAAAAGGGTGTCCAATACTAGTTTTTGAAAAAGGTTGCATTCAAGAAGGATTATGCACAGCGTCTATTGCCCAACGGCTTCAAATTTCAATTCAAAATTATTCGATAGTAGCCTTGTGTTTTTTTAATCCATCTTGCATTCAGCTGTCTCACTAACACTATCTAGCACATAATTTGCTTTTGAATCAACATAGAACGTTGCAGTTAAGTGGTCTCCCCTCAGCGAATGCTCTGCGCCTCACGCTCATGACTAGGAGCCATGAACAGCTAGTAGCCCTTTTCTACCTAGAGTCTAGTCCCTCGTCATTTCGTCGCGGTATTCCCTTTTGCACGCTCAGCGCCTCTTTGCCGTATGCCCTACCGCGTCCAATACAGTAAGATCTCACTGTGAGCATTTCCGACTGTTTCCTTCGCGTGTTCTTCACTAGAGAGTCACCTGGCACCTTTTCTCTCATATCCAAAGGCCAGTGTGAATTTACAAACAAGTTTGCAATTGTACGCTCAATGAAGAGTAGGCAAGTTACAACAGTACCTAACACCGCACTGTTGTTCTGCTAAAAAAAATTATGCTTCATGAACGAAAGTCTCACTTCAGTGGCTAACCACAGATCAGATTCAGGCAAGGTTTTATGGAACAACTCCCTAAGGTACGGTACCCCCCATCCGCAAGTTAAGCTTGTTATCTTCTTCACCGATTTCCTGCTCTGGTTGCTGAGGAATGCTCTCTTAAACTCTCTTTGTTCTGCGGGTTTGTACCGGACACAAAAGACCGCCGACCCGAGTCTACAACTTCATTTCGGCAAACTCGAGTATATTTGATCCTGCTCTCCGGTATGCGCTTATTGAAGAATTGTATGCACATTCTTTTATCTGCATAATCTAACTGAACTGTTCTGCTAACAGAGACTATGGCAACATTCTATCACTACAGTGTTGCTAGTGATACTTAAAATCCCTGAGATGCCGTCGGCTTGGCTATGCTATTCATTTGAGAGCGGCAGCGGGCCTCTTCTTGAAAAAATTTCCCATGATTGGGTGCCGGTCTGCATAGCTGGTGAACTTCAGTAGGGTAGCAAAGACGACTGGTCGGGTAGTTATAATTTGCTTCTATCCTTACGGGCTCTGGGGAAGGCTATCCCGTCAAAATGTTAGCCGGTAATACTGAGTGAAAAACCTTGTGAAGGTGAAACCAACACCTTCCAACAACACGACGCCAGGTTCATGGAGAGCCATAAAAGGCGTCTGCTGAAATATTAGGTTGTTCGAAAAGTCCTGCGACACTTTGACCAATTTTTCGGACTAAATTTTCAGTCACTAAAAGACATCTCCAATCTACAAGGTAATCACCACTAAGGACTAGGACTAGTGCCCTTCTTTTGCACAGCTTCTCATTTCCATTCTTATAGAACTACGGCAACTATGATAAGAAGAAGAGGTGGACCTCATTTTTGAGTAGACGTCGATTTTCGGAATTTTTGCCTTCTTAAGGATGCGGTAGGGATCAAAAAAGGTAGTAGTTAGAGACTGCTAACTTTGATGAATAAGCTGGGTATGGTCGCATTCTCAGATCAAGATCCACGATCTTTTGGTGTGGCCTGATCCTAACATGCGGTCTTCGCATTGCCGAGCGGTAGAGAAAAATTGAGTATTTTTGAAGAATTCAAGCGTGACGTCATCCATGTTGTGAGGTTGGTTAGAGTGGACTGTAGTCCTTAGATCGTAATAACTTCGTGTAGGGA